CCTCCAGCACTAACTATGAAAAACATTCCCCTTGACCAAAAATGTAAGGCCTTCAATCCACCTGTGTCTTTATTACATTTAAGATCCATTTCTACAACACTATCTTCCATAAATGTAGGATTTTTTTGCAGAAAATTGGTAGTACCTGCAAATATAAATAACCAATCATTATAACCTTGCAGTTTCACTGACTGTGGCTTACTGTATATAGGTGTGGCCAGTAATCAAACTCTACAAACAATTAAGTGTAACAAAGATAACAATTGGTGCTCTAAAATTGGGTAAACGTTACTTACCTTGATAGGTCGAAGCATTTGGCATGTTTCTGGAATGGGTAGATAAATCTAATTCTTCCATAACTTCAAGTGATGAATCTGTACAATATATATAGTATATATATTATGTTACTTTGAATAGTGCAGTATTTTATTGCAAAAACCATTTATAGGTTAAAAAACTATTTTATTTTAATTGGCTAAAACCCCCCAAATATTTGATGGTAATAACCACTACTTTAGTAACCTGCATATAAGTGCACTGCAGATAAAGGTGCATATGCCCTTATATCCGAATATTATAGAAGATCAACAATTAATATTACAGTATCAACATTTTCTATTATAAATTGTGGTTATAAGAGTGCGCCTAGAAGAGACATGATATCGTAACATAAAATTGTACACTTCAAATTCTATCCCTGTGTATTTTAACACAAGCTACAGACTACAAGTTTGTGTCATTGTCGAATGTATTATTAAAATATCAGGAACTTGTAAACTGCATGCAGGCTAATCCCAATACAATGTGACATTGATACTATTGTTCCCAGATGCCTAATTTTAAATATGATACAAAAGAATGTTACTGAATAGATTTTAGTACCACTCTGATCTGCATTTCTCGAATAGTAAAATAAAGATTTTTCTTACCAGACAACAATGGCAATGGCTGTTTTGACATTTCATCCAATGCTAAAAAGGATAAAAACAAACAAAATTTACGTAAGAAAATAGAACACAATTACTAGGAATTGCTAATACTCAATAGCAAATTAGTAATGCTTATTCAACCCATTTGTGTGCATTACTTTCCCCTTGACAAGTTATCTTTGACTGTGTACAATACAACATTGTTAAAAGTAAGCCACTCCACACCTACTGTAGTTTATTTGGTGTACTTTAGGTACATTATTTTCCAGCTTTAAATGTGTTAAATTTGCAAACCATTTTTACCCAATACTCAATAGCTGGGAATTAAATGTGTTAGAATATTATGTTTTTCATATCTGAAATGAATAAGAAATGAATAAGAAATGTACTTCAGTAAAACTATCCTAAGGCGGGGGTCTTAAATTAATGTTGGAAATGCACTTAATTTTTATGGTTTGCAGTGATAATTATATACCTTCTCCAATATCTACACCAGCAACTCCACAACTGTCGTACAACTTCTTTAACTCTGTTCCATACCCCATGGATTTTGCCTTGTCACAATGGACGTCACAAAAAGCATGGCCTCGTTTAGGTGAAAGTGGACAAATGTTAGGATAGTTGACATTCCCAAAATCTGGTACAGAAACTGGAACTTTCCACATGCAATGTGCATATCTTAGTTTCCAGTTTCCATCTGCAACGTAGAGTTTCCCACACCCTACACAAAATCAAAATACATATGGGAGAATAATCAGTTAAGTTTGTTTATATTTTAAACACACTATATAGACACATGTTCATAATGATGGTGGTAAAGAAACAGACTTATTTAATATGACCACCTCAATTGGAATGAATTTCCAGTTTTTTCTCACACTCACTGCTATGGGCAAATAAATATAATTCTTTATAAATATTCGATAAACAACAGTAAACCTTTAATTTTGACCAACAAAGCAATATCCTGAGTGGAAATAATCTTTAAAATGAGGCTCAGGCAAGGTTAACATTTATCTGTTCCATTTAAGGTGGTCCCTGAGTGTGCCAGTTTTAATTGGCATATCCAGTTTTAATTGGCACAATCTAAATTATGCAAACTACATACGATATGCTATTAAATTCATTGTACTTTAAGCTAACATCTGGCAGTGTTCTGGTTGACTTAGAATAATCAATACACATGTAGATTAGACATTAAATTTATAAGATGTCCAAATAACAAACATTCAAGATGTCCAAATAACAAACATTCATGGTTGTCATGAGAGGACCCAACCTGACAACTCATTTTATAATTAGTAAGTCTATGCATCAGACATTCTTACCCTTTTCCTTGCAGTTAGGAGAACATACATGATGATACAGTTCCTCACAACGTTTTCTGTCCACAAATTCCATTACATCATCATGGGTTCCAGTGTTTTCACCATTCTGGTTACTTGTAAAAACCCACTCCTCCCTTAAACCACGTTCTCTCAGCTCCTCTTCCACCTCATGATGCCAAAAGCACTTGGCAACAACTTTCGCTGACATTTCACCAGGCAAAACGCCTAGAGTATAAATAAATATTATAACCCTCCAATTGATGTTTGAATATTTAAGCAATTACATAATTTCTTCAAAAAACTAGATACAAATGACATTGGATAGATGTCCTAACTTTATCTATACTTTTAAGAGTTGAAAAGAGTTTAAATTTGTTAAAAAAAGTGTTTTTTAATTGAAATTGTCTGGAAAGTAGGCAGGATCCACAATGGCTTGATAAATGTCATCATAAAAAAAAAACTGGTTTTGCTCGAATCATTTTGAGTTATGCAATCTTACGCGTGTTGGACGTAAACAACATATCTTGTCTACAACTTTGAGAAGGTACAGATAATTCCTTCTAATATCCTTAGTTCTGGATCTATCTCTATAAAATCACAAGGACGTTAATGTCAAGTTTTTGGGCTATGTCTCTGGGCTGAGAAATAATTCCTTACATGCGATCAAAATGTTTTATACAAAGATATAAAACGGTAATCTATATGTGATGGATCAGCATTGAAATTTCCAACACAGTTTCCGAGACGTAATTCAAGAGATAACTTATCATTGCATTTGAACTATTACATCAGTTGGTGTTATACTGTGCGATAAGCGAATATTATTGGAAAGAGGGCTTCTATATACGTCAAAATCATCAAATAAACAGCTCATGCACACATTTCTCCACTTCGTGGTAAGTTTACAGAGCATATGGTCCTTTGAGTGACATAATCGTGTGTCGTCATCGATCCGTATCGTTGAACAATGAAAAAAATTGTTGAAAAATTAGTGAAGATAAAATAGCATTTTGTGAAAAAAATGCGGGTCTACGGAATGGGAACTTTTCGGATTTGAACTCAGCGTATTCGAAAGTGTTAGTTCCCGTAAAAATATTTCAGATCTGCTTAATGAAAGTGAACGATATCAGGTCACAACACATGGACTTTGATTTTGATAGAGTTTTGTATTACATACAGGGCTGACATTTCAACCCAGTAAACAGGGCTGAGTTCAACCCAGAGGTTGAAAATGCTCCATGTAATCGACACTTTAGAGCATTGGATCACAAAACAGTATTGCATGGGTCATCAAGATGCAATAATGGTATAAAAATAATCTAGTAAACTTTTTTAAATTAATAAATGCAGATGAAATCCACTGGCAGGATTACTGTAATAAATATTCCTATTAAATCCAAATATTGTTGCCCAAATTATATTACAGTATATGCCATTGTAACATACCAACATTGCACTCAGTGTCTTCTGTGTCTTCACCTGTTTCTTTCAAATCGACAGAGCCTAATTATATCAAATTAGCAAACACAACTGTGTTCACTCTTTTTAATAATTGCTTTCGTAGTGAGCGAGCATTCAGCGAGGCAGCAACCCTAATTTATGTAGCTGGCAAAATTCTTAATGTTTGATAGAACAACAATGCAATTCTCATGATTGCTGTTTGGCATGTGGGTTGTGCCCTCTGCACTTTGTTAGTTCTAATACAGTTTTGGTCAGTCTTTTCTCCCATCACCAAGAGGAAAGACCATGGTTACGAGGTTGTCGAACAAGCAGTAATGTAACCTGCGACACAGAATACCATACAGAAGTCCATCACCATTGTTTTTGCGTAAGCGTTATTTGTCATGATTCGTCACTAGGCAAGTACCGTAAACAGAAGCAGCCCCCCCTGGAAATATGAAAAATGGCGCATGTCCAGGGGGGACTGCTTCTGTTTACGGTACTTGTCGAGTGACGAATCATGACGAATAACGCTTATGCAAAAAATTAACAAATAACGCTTCTTTTGTGCCTGCGCTCAGGCCTATAAATAAATAGGCATGATACAAACCTTATTAAAAAACTATGCCGTACAACCGTATTTCGGTTGTAAATCTGATTGGTCTAGGAGACAAAAGATTTTTTAATCTGTATTTGACTGGTTGGTGCTAATTAGATTATACTATTGTTGTTATCTGTGATGTTACTCTGAGTGTATATCCACACCGGGCGAGCTTGAAAAATATGCCCGGCCATGGTGGGAATCGAACCTATGACCTTTGGAATATTATTTGAATATTATTTGTAAAATAAATTAGCAATATACTCTCAGAGTAACATCACAAATATCATATTCACCTGAGTACACAACACCAACACAGAAAAAATCATATACTATTGTTGTTGTTACATTATTATTATACTTTAATTAATAGATTGTTGTCGTATGAAATTTAAATTTGAATATTATTTGTAAAATAAATTAGCAATATACACTCAGAGGAACATCACAAATATCATATTCACCTGAGTACACAACACCAACACAGAAAATTATTATTATACTTTAACTAGAAAATACATGCATGCAAAAACCCTCGCCTTGCTGACAAACAGACAAAACCATTGTATTTTTCGAACATGAAGTATCTGAAGTAGTTGTCATGGTAACACGATAATTTTTTAAGAATATTCTTACAAATGAAAAATCGCCTAAAAAATATCACTTTTAATTACAAAATTATTAATTTCCCAACATATATATGTTAGGTATGTTATTATACGTAATATAAGCCTCAATTTAAAGGACATTGGCAACCAAAATTTTTATTGCTTATATCTATTAGGTATGCTTACGGAATACTTAATTTTATATTTTGGCCGGTTTGTCGCATTTAGTTGTTGAGAAAATGTAATACAAAGTTCAACAGTAGTCCGCCATTTTGAAAATAAACACTTGTGCCACAGCATACATTATCTGACGTCATTAGATGGGTAAACACAATTTCATGACTATAAAACAATACCGAGTATTACCACGCGTAGTGCACTTTGAGCCTAAACGACGGGCAGAAACGTTTTACCAAGTATGTTACTTATTTGTAACACTATTTCTGATAGTATATCAGTCCTAGTCCGTGTTAAATAAAAGCAGTAATTCGAGTGTAAACAAGGCAAACACTAATGCAATATTTTATGATCAATTACCTGTATTGTAAATTGCGCCATTCCTTGCTTTCCCAGTCGCTCGATATGTTTTTATCTGATAGTGTAGGCTTCTCTTGTTTGATTGCGAAAAGTATTGGCCAGTATAACGCCCAAAACGACATATTTTTGGCTAACACGACACGCACGCAATAGAATTCTCACTTGTAGTTTTGGTGCTACCCATCTAATGACGTCACAAAATTCGTTGACCTTCGAAGGTCATTTTTTCCAAGATTGCGGCGACACACAAAGTTTGCATGCATTTTACTCCTAGAGTAAAATGTTCGAGAAGGAAATGATAATATTTTCATAGTTAGGTTGTCAAGTAGGATTGAAATAGCCAATAAAAATTTTCGTTGCCAATGTCCTTTAAGGTAAAATTCAACCACAAAAGCTTCGCAAAACGTTTTAAAGTCACTAGTGTTCTTTATAAAACTAAACTGCCTTTTAAAATGGCTTTATCGATAAACTTTGAGTTTGCAATAAAATGACTTCAAATTCTCGCTTGCAAATAACTCTGCTTTCTTTTTTATTTAAAAAATTCAATATCGTAAAAAAGGGAATCAATATTACAAGATTTATTTATTTGCTCCTTTCAAATTGCAATTTATATACACAAAGAAATTATTTAAATTATAGTTAACATTATTATTATTAGTAAAATATATTTGTGATCTGTGACTAATTGTTTTGTAATTTTTGAGAAGATTTGAAAGAGAGCTGGCTCCCTGAAATAACCGCAGGGCTATATAAATATCAGGAAACCAAATAAAGGACGAAAAAATTATGAAAATTGACAATATATAGTTCTATATCAAATATATTTAAAAGATCGAGAAAGAGTCCTACATGACTCCCGATAACGTATAGAAAAAGTTGGAGTTGGAAACTGAATCAATACTTTCCAAGAAAATCGATTCTAATTTTATATTTAATTTGAGAAATCGGCAAGTCTTTATATGATTCATGTAAAGAATTCCAAATTTTAGCGCCTTGATATTTGATATTGAAAATTCCGAAATTTGTTCTTGCTTTTGGTAGTATATATGTTAATTTGGAAGCAAGCCTCGTATTTTGAGAATGAACATTGCACACAGGAGTAAAGAAATTGTTGAACGTTGGTGGCAACAAGTTGTTATGATATTTGTACATGAAAAGAACCACGTGTAGATTTAGAAGATCAGTCAACTTAATAATATTCAACTGTTTGAAAAGTGAGCTAGAGTGGGCATCAAATTTAGAGAATGTTATAACACGCACAACCTTTTTTTGGAGTATAATTAAAGGTTTGACAGTTGAGGAATAAACATTACCCCATATGATTAAACCATATGTTATAAAAGGGTAAATTAAAGCATAATATAAATTAACCAGAATGTTGCTATCTACATAATATCTAAGGGAGCGGTCATAAAGTAAGTGCTACCCCGGGGCGGAGGATATTGGGATGGGTATGAAATTTTTTTCAGGGATCTGGATGGGGTATGAAATAAATTTATCACTTTAAAGAGCGGCTATGAAACAAAATTTGTTTGTTTCAACACAAAAATTGTGTTAATACAGTTTAATATTACTACGGCTCTGTTCATGGTCCAAATAATTTTTCATACATCAGTGCCATCATTGTCTCATAAAATATTTAACCGTTGCTCAAGTAGTCTCCCTTGCAGTTGCTGTTGTGATTTTATTCCTGTTCATGAACTTGTGTGGAGGAGTACATGATGACAAATATTATTCAAAGAATGGCTGAGAGACTATTGAGAGACTATTGTACCGTATATTTAATACACAGTGTAATCATTTTTAACCCTGTTTGTACCGGGGTGCACACAATGAGCGCACCCAAATAAATATTTATCCGTCATTCCTGAACAAATGAACCATTTGCTTTTCTGAAAATTGCCCAATGTTATGGTAGACTTGCTCCAAGTCTTTCTTTCATTGTCATATAGTATCGATCCACTATGCTGTACATGACATGCGTCATGTAATGTACACTATAGTGGATCGATATGACAATGA